AATTACCTCTGTCAAATAAATAAATAAATAAATAAATAAATAAATAAATGGATTTGCTAGGTTGTCACCGTTTTACCGCATTCTTGATGTAATTGAGCAAATATTTTCTTTTCCTCTGAACTGGACAGCTTCCTTATATTTAATTGTACACAGTTAATTGCCTTTTCTATTTACTACCAGATTACAACCTGAAACAGCGCTTTCAACAGCTTACTGATCAAATGGTATAAAATTAAATAAACTAAAGGTACACTACTCTAACACCCTTTTGTAACTGTAACAGCAGTTACACCCTTCTATAACTGCTGTTCTCGTGTATTTTTGGGTGAACGCTGCCAAGCATGACCATATTGGGTCAGCGAAAGGTAAGAATGTTTCATTAGTGAGCAATTGACAGAAGAATTCCTGGTTGGTAACGCACGCACATTATTACTGGAATAATGATACACACGAAAAATTAAGCGCGTCTGATTGGCTGAAAACGAGTGCATTTATTATGTAACATGAGAGCAGAGTTGTAACACCACAGGCAGACCACACCATGTGTTCGTGGTTAAAATATTGTTGACACGACGAACAAAATATATGAGGGTTATGAATAAAGCTCTGAAAATTGCATATCTGAATTACATCTCGTTACAAATATCTCAACAGAGTCAATCGAAATGTTAATCGATGCATTTGTGGTATTTTTCCTCCTTCTTAAGCCGTTTTAAGCGTCTTTTTACGAAATTAATTTTGGTCGGAGGCCGTTTGGAGAAGAAAAGGCTCGTGCAATTTTTTTGTCTTTGAAAAATTAGCTCGTGCTCGTGCTCGTGCTCGTACACCAAACTGCACTAGAAATCATGTTGTTACCTATGCGAAAGGAGAATTTTCAAGTGCTAAGTTGCCTTTGCGGAACCCTCTTAAACGGTTGATGGGAGAACACTTGACTACTTTGTGAGTGAACTGTCTTAAACAGTTCGAGATTTACAAGCTTCATTTGTTTTGTTTTGTTTTGTTTTGTTTTATTTTCTGCTTTTTTTCTTTGATATCCCGCGAGGGTTTATCGCGTTATGAACCTCGGGAAATTGCGCATCGTTGCTTGTATCCTTGCAATAATTTTTCTACACGTTCAACAAAAGTTAATTGATTTTAACTATTAATATTTTACTTCAACCTCGTATAATTCCATACAACAAAAATTATGTCGTTTTAATTTCGCAAAAAAATTAAAATAAAATGCTTTATAACATTATCTTTTCATCGAGAGCTTGCGCCCCCTGTGGTAAAGCTCGCAGAAAGCGGTTAGAGCACGAAAGAAGTGTGGGGGAACCTGATTGATTTAATAAGACTTAAGCTGTCAAAAATGTCAATTTATTCACAATCTGCAATGGTTCACAAACCCAAATAATTCGGCAGCTCGAATTCAACTTTTTTCCTCGTAGTTTATAAGTCTTAATACATAATCTGAGAGTGAAATGTTCGGGTAAATCCAGCCAAGTTGCGGCTCGTGAAAGCGCGCAAGCTTTTTAACGTGAAACTTGGTAAACAAACTGCCTAAGAGGTGCGTTTCATCAATGATCGACAGCCGAATTCACAGGAACATGAAGATTGCTCAGGGTGTAGGCGTCCCTACGACTCTGCTGTTGTGGTCTTCCACTCAGCACATCATCACAGCGATGACCGAAGATCGCCGTTATGAGCTAGGATCGCAGTTTCTCTGACACCGTGATTTGTATAAATTCTTAACAGTTATGCGAGTTTGGTTTATTTTTCTCATGCTTTGCTTTGTCTGTTTTTGGACACGAAACTACATATACTATAAGAGTGTTCGCTGTGTTTAGGCTTAATTATTGCATGTACTGAAACGACAATCTAGCTGAGCGTAAAAAAAAACCTTAAAAACCTGGAAAGTTCATTTAGTTTTCTCTTCGGTGATATTTGTCTTGTCGCATGTCGCAATGTCGTCAATTACGGCACTTGACATGTTTCCAAACCTTCTTTTGGTTCTTCTGTTGTTACTTGCCCGCCCGCTTGTTCAACAATTTGACTTTAAAGGCCCATTTCCAACCTTGATGCAACGTGCGCCGCGACCCAATTTCATGTAACACGAAATTACCAGATCACTGAAAACCTTCTAAAATCGTCTTTCTCAAGAGCCATCGTGGACATATAGTCAACTGTTTTACGGTAAATACATTCGCCGTTCGTCATTTTACAGTTTCCTTACAGTATTTTGAATTTTGTTCAGAAGAATCCGAAGAAATTTTTTTTTTAAGTGTCACGCTTGAATCTCTTCGTACTCTGTGGACAGAGTCGGCGAAAAGGACAACGTTCAAATTTTTTTTACTTTCTAGAAGCGCTTGAGGATTCTAAATGAAGATAAAATATTTCCAATAGAAATCGATATTTTTCAAAGAGAAATATGGAAACATATCAGTCTGCTGGACGTTTAGTCATTCGAAGACTGTGTCCGTTGAAAATTTTCTTAGTGTCACGCTTGGATCTCTTCGCACTC